ATGTTAGCAATATTCAGTACCAATCCCCTAAACAAATACAATTATGTCAGGGGAGATATGGTTTCGGATACACAGGAGAATAATGTGTGTTAATCTACAAAATTATTTGTCCAAGTTATGAGATGATGATTATTTTTTGCTCCTTCCAATTGTATTACCTATGTTTTACCACAATGATTTCTTGGAAACCTGTCAGAATTCAACCCAAAATATAAGAACTCTCTGGTTTTCAGCATATTTTTATAGTTTCCAACATATAGTGTGTTCTTTAGAATCCATTTCCTAATATTTTACCAATGATTCTGATTAGAGAGGAATGATTCTCAAAAATACTTTTTTACTTTAAATTTTATCATGAAATTGAGTTGGAACTGTTTTTAGCATATCTTTACATGTATGAGGACATATGTTTGACATGTGAGAGGAAACGGTAGGCTGCTGCCCCTCTTTGACTCTTTGATCACAGGGATCTTAATGCTAAATAGAAGCTATGGTGTTTCTGTGCATTTTCTTTGCCATCTATAACATATGTTTTGGACAGAGTAATATTCACTTAAAGATGTGTATTTTGAGTATTCAAACTATGAGCATGACACAGGAAAGAAACCACTGAGGTAGCTGCATTATAATTACAGGGGAAAATTTTATTGTGGATAGGAGAGAAAGTTCACAGGTATCTAGAAGAGTTCATAGCAGAAATTAAAAGAAACAGGTTTGATGTTACCACAACTGTCTGTGAAGGAAGGTAGAACTGTGGAGATACCTGGGTAGAGAAAAATCACCCTCACTTTATAAATAAAGCAAGGCGAGTTCAAGAACATTTTGGGAGTTTGTATAGTGTAGAAGGAGAGGGGGTTGTTGTGGGGAGACAGGAAAGTGGGGGCTGTGAGATATATAACAAGAACTTTTGAATAGAGACACAGAGAACTTGAGGGCAACATGGATGTTGATATCCTGATAGGAGTCAAAGGTCAATGGAGAGCCGCATGCCCCTTTGCCAGAGGCGAGGGAAGTGACTCCCATTGCTGTTCAAGGACCATTTCTCATTTTTTTTTGCTTTGGTTTGTTTTTGTTTTCTTTGTTTATTCTAACCATCATAAATCATTCTCTAGTCCATCTTGTACAAGACCACAAATCTGGAATTTCTCAATGTATGTGCTCCCTGAGACCTAATTATTTTAAATCATTAGGAAAACCTACTTTTTATTATTATTTTGTAAACATCTATTCACTTTCGACTATAAAGGAATGGGTTTGATTATGGTATTTTAATACGTAGATTACTTTCTGATATTTATTCATTTATTTATTTATTATGTATACAACATTCAGCCTCCATGTATACCCGCATGCCAGAAGAGGGCACCAGATATCATTACAGATGGTTGTGAGTCACCATGTGGTTGCTGGGAATTGAACTCAGGACCTCTGGAAGAGCAGAGCACTCAGTGCTCTTAACCACTGAGCCATATCTCCAGCCCTACTTTCTGATTTTTTAATATCATACTCCAACATATCAATCCTTTTAAATTGGATTACACAACAGAAAATCTTTATAAAGAACTTTAAAGTTTGGTAGGGCTTTGCTATCTTAATTAATACTGTATAGTTACACATATCACTGAAAACACAGAGTTTGCAAAAGGTACAATCTACTACTATCATCAAAGTTCAGTCATTTTAAAAACATGGACATTCTAGTTTTATATGATATTTTCTATGGTTATTATGTGTCCACGCTATACTACACATTTAACTCTCAGGTTTACAGACTATCTCTCAGGTTGTTTCAGTCACAATCCTTTGTGGCTCTAGGCTTTATTTCTAAGCATGTGTGCCTCCTCCATAGTCTTCAAAGCTTTCCTACTTTCCTGTGCATGAAAATATCTCACTAAGTCTCACTAAGTTACATTCGTTTTTAAAGTCTCCTGTGATTCTTGCATCTGTTACACTGTAAGGTTCACAGTGTTGGTGAAGTCTGTATGCTGCCTATATCACATGGACCCTGGTTAGATGAAAAACAAATTAAGAATTGAGAATCTTTGAGGATAAATCTGCATGTCACAAGGTTTTGCACAAGTATTCCACTATTATTGCACACATGTTATTGCAGTTAGAGTTACCAATGATATCCATGTTGATATCCAATGGCCAATTTTCTAGGAGTCACTTAGACCTTCATTAATGTTTGACATTGATCGCTCCCCTCTTCTGAATCCCACTAGAGTGTGAATATTTCTTCTCTCCAATAGGACGCCTTGTGATGTGTTTCCTACTTTTATTTTAAATCACGACTAATGTTCATCGATTCCCAATACTGTTTTAAAATATGGATATTCTTTATTAGTCAAATTGTAAAAATGATTTCAAATGAGTTGGGATTACATCACTCACCCCTTTCCTCGCTCTAGGCCAGTGGTTCTCACCTGTGGGTGGTGACCTTTTGGTGGTCCCTTATCAGGTATTCTGCATGTCGCATGCTTCCATTAGATTCTTAGCATAACTTAGCAAAACTACAGTTATGAAGTAGCAAGAAAATAATTTTACACTTGGGGTTCCCCACAATATGAGGACCTGTACTAAAGGGTTGCAGCCTTAGAAAAGTTGAGGACCATTTCCCATGACCATACCAGTACACTGTTCAAACTTTTCCCACGACTTTCAAGTAGCATCTTCTGAAAAAGGGCCCACTCCTGCAATATGTTCCCAATCCTCCCTTCCCTAAGCAACCTCTTCTTTTCGGTTTTATTTTAAAACTGTTGACAGCTCAACAGAGTGCAGTTGGGGAGTTGAGCCTGCGCTTTAATCTCTTTTATTCTGTGAAATTCAGCATGAAATAACAACCTCTGAATACCTGTTCTTTTAGTTGGAGACCTGCACCAGGAGAAGCCTTTTATTCCCTAAATGGAAACCCTTGAGGAAAGAGCCACAGGAGGGGAACATCGAACCTTGCTGTGCCAAGGTCCCGTGGAACTGAGAAGAGGCTGGAGAAGGAAGAAACAACACCTCTCCTTGTTCAGTGATGTGCTGGTTGTGTCTAACAACCTGTGAGTATGTGCATCGTGCCTTCCTTACTATGAGAGGCTATACTTTGATTAGGCCTTACTGTATAAAACTGTAATAGGATTTTTATTTCTTTTATTGTTTGAAATTGTAAGCACTTCATTAACATTTGCTCCTTCCCTTTCCTCCTGATCAGTCCTCCTATATTCTCCTTCTTGCCATCTTTCAAAATCATGACTTCTTTTTGTTAATGTTTGCTACATATGTGTGTCTGTTAAGAAACATGTATATACATATATGCTATATATTCTATGTATACTAACTAAATATAACCTATTCAGTCTGTATGTATACACACCCATATGTGTGTGTTTTCAGGGCTGTCTATATGCTCTCTGAAGGTGGAGAATATTTATTTTACTGTCAAAACTCTTTATTGGCCTATAAATCTTTGAGTAGGGTTGAGATTTAATGGACTTTCCCCTAAAATATTTCTCATTTTAAAATATTTAAAATATTTCTGTTTCAACAAATGTTTAAGTCATATTTTAAACCCATGAATTATTTAACGTGGTTTGATTCTGTGGAAAGAATAGCAGGAAAACTGAAAAGGATGCAAGTATAGAAGCACACGAGGATAATGAAGAATGCAGGAGAGAGTTCTGCTCTACAGTGTAGACACAACCTACCGGGTTCATCCTCCTTTCAAAGTTCCCAGCCCGTAGACTGATGGTTAGTTAGTGTCTGACTGCAGCAAGGATGAAAGAATTGTATGGCCTGACTGTCTGTCTGTCCATCAAAGTGTCCATCTTTCTAGTCATTTCCCCTCAGCTCCCCTTCAGTTCACATTTGGAAATTCTCACATTTTATTTTAACAAGATAGTAGTAAAGTCATTTGAAATACAAAAGAAAATACTGACAATTTGCTACGTGAGCATAGTTTGTGGAAGTAAGTGAAATTTACAATGCTTTTGAGAATAAATGAAAGTAAAATGGTTGACTTTCTTAAAGGTCAAAAGATTTGTTCTCTTCTGTTGTGTTACGACAGCAAATAAAGTAATTTTGAGATTGTATATGTTATGGAATGAGGATTGTCAAGTTTATAGGGGATGATTTTTATTATTTACATTTTCTTGGCAGATTATACCTTAAAATATTATAATTAGTGGTTTCCTGTTTAAGTATTTCATATATATTATTTCATATATATTGTCAAATTGCATATAAATATATATGGGATTAGGTGTCTTGAGGGTAAAAAGCAAAAGAAAATACAGATGTTTCACATATTTGAGACATGGGTAAGTATATGTATGTGTGTGTGTGTTCTGAGGCAAATGTTACATGATATGCTCGTATTTTCATTAGAGCATGTTACGTTAGATGAGGTGGCCTAAATTTCTTAGTGGTATCGTGTTAGTCTTCATATATTTTGGATTTTAGATAAATTTCCGTGTAGGATTTTTGAGTCAGAGGTAGTCCTTTGACATGTTGTCCTCTGAATCCGAGAACAAGGAGTCTTTGTCTTCAACTGTGTAGCCGCCTCCTAGCTCACAAGTCTCCAGTAGAGAGAGCTCCATGTCCAGGTTCACACAACAAATGCGCCCGGTAAAACAGAGCCCATCATTAAAAAAATATAAACAAGCACGGCAGTGGGAAAAAGAGTTGTCGAGAGGCAGAAGGAACAGAAGAGAGAGTGATAGAAAATAATCAGAACATACCGTATACGCATGTGAAATTATCAAAAAACAAACTCCATACAAAAAAAATATAAAGAGGGGCTGGCGAGATGGCTCAGTGGTTAAAAGCATTGCCTGCTCTTCCAAAGGTCCTGAGTTCAATTCCCAGCAACCACATGGTGGCTCACAACCATCTGTAATGAGGTCTGGTGCCCTCTTCTGGCCAGCAGGAATACATACAGACAGAATGTTGTATACATAATAATAAAATAAATAAAAAAAATATAAAGAAAGAAAGAAACTCAATGCTCCCAAGATGATTGTTTCTCAAAAACAGTTTTGATTTCATCAGAAAGCTTGATAGGAAGACTTATTTTTAGCCCTTTGACTAGGTTATAGGAAAACCAAATCCTCTTTGCGATTCGTTGTATGAGAGGCACCTCGTGGGTTTAATAAAGGGGTGTTGTACTGAGCAGTTCTCCTGAACAGTTGCTGACATGACTTGCTAGTACAAGGAAAAGGCCAAAGGAATAAGAATTTTGTTAAGTCAGGCAATGTTCCTCTATTATTTATTATGACAAGGTCTTTAGAGGGAGTCATTTAAATAAAATATAAAACATCATTTAACTTCTTGGTATTGAAGTTATGGAAGAAAATAAGCAGAAGAGTTTAACTCTTCACTAAAAAGATGGTAGAATATTGTAACACACGGCTTTCTGAAAACGCCATGTTTGAAATGACACAGTATGGTTATTCTGAACACTCATCGATCATAAATAAAGACCATTCTATGACTATTCTTGGCCATGAAAAGTGTGAACCCTGTAACTTCCTTCAGCACAGACGTTGTGAAGGCACATCTACATGACATGCACTGTTTCGGGGTGACAGAAATGGATGAGTCCTCCTCTGCTCTGGAGCAGGAAGAACTAGGTCTGAGCACAAGTAATTCCAACTACAATGAAAAGTCAACTAACACAGTGACGTGACTCTCTTTCAGGCGTGAGAGAAAGTTCAAGACCAAACATGTCATCCCGCTGAGTTATCTGTGGATGGGTGACTGTGTGGACATAGTCGGGAGAGACAACAGCTCTGCTTGCAAGTCCATTTTCCTGTCCTGGCCCGTGGGAAATTTTGTGGCCACCTTTCGGTAAGACCTATAGCTTGGAGCTGTGTTGACAAGAGGCCAGCTGTGGAAATTGTCAGGCAACTTAATCCTGTTTTATTCACAAGGAAAAAAAACCAAATCAATTAACCAGAATGTTTACAAATTATGAAATCATTTTAGTCTGATTATATACCAACTCAGTCTTCTCCCTCCCATGATGACACTGGTTTTCTGTACTTTCCACCATACACATTTCTTCACGTAAGTAGATTCTTTAGATTCTCATCTGTGGTGTTCATCAGGACTCCACAAGATCCTTAAGGTAGAAATGAGAGATGCATTCTGTCCTTTGAAGGATGCAGACAGGACAATGCCTTACTCCATCTCCACATTCTTCTCCCCCAAACACTCTGATATTGTTTGGGTTCTGAAAGTACACAAATTGATCTGTCTCCAGGGATAGTGTATAGTATAATCAAATTTGACAAACACCTACTAAACTCCCAAGTGAATTGCTTTAAAAATATTATCTTTAATTGTACAGATAAACATAATTACTCATTGAAACTCAGTTCTTGAAGGTTTGTATAGTGAGATATGTATCTCTGGTGTCTATAATCAACTCATGAGGACCAGTGTCACTAGACCATCAGAGTCAGGGTTAGTTTCTGGAGTGCAGGAAAATGTCAGATTCACACTCTTGTCTTTCATGAGAGGATGTGATCATGGCATACCGGGAATACCTTGAGTGCAATTCTTGGAACCACAGGATTGCGTAGCAAACACCTGCTCTGGGCAGCATGCAGTAGCCTTCTTCTTTTGTGTCCACATGAGGAATTCATCACATGCAACCCCCAGTTAGGACTCTCCTCTTCCTCTGTCCAGACGTCTAACCTCATCATCGAATTGACTCAACACAAGCACTTGCAAGTTTTATAAACTTCCTAGGACCTGTGAGTTTGCTCTTACCCAGGGAAAGAATTTCCTTGGGAATCTCTGAGGAAGAAGATCATCTATGTGGCATTCTCTGAACATTTCCTTTTCCCTTGTTAATGTCTCTGAAGATTGTGTATAGTTATTGTGTAGAGTTTCTCCCACATTGAGATTGAGAGGAAGCACTGTATTTAGGGATGTATGAAGAGTTTCATGATGGCATTTCCGTTAAATTTTTCTTTTCGTAAGGGAGTAAAATCAAGAAGCCATATTTAGACGAGTTCACAAGTTTCCAATCATGCCTATCACTAAGTGCCTCTAAAGTTGCCTGCTCTGTCACTTTCTGTAATGGTGAGCATAGATGTATTGTCTATGTCCAAGTGCAGGTTGAGGATCACAGGCACGATCACCCTTTTGATGAAACTGGTTGCAGGCAGAATAGAAAGTGGGTGAGCAGTTAAAGGTAGAAACATGAAATGTGCCTGTCTTTGTGTGTAAAAATCATCCCATAGTTCCATAGGAAATTAGAGAGCATTTCCATGTGACTAAGCAGCCCCAAACCTGAATGTAGAACCATGACAAATAGAGAAGGAAAGTCTGTGCACGAAAGTTCTCCCCATCATGGATCATTATTTTCAGAAAGTGGGAAAAAATTGCACCGTTGGCTGCGGGGTTCTACTGAGTCTGCGATTCCCTTCTCCGGACCCAGGATGCGCGCTTTCCCGGATCTCCTCAGGAGCTTAGGGCAAGGTCTGGGGGTTGAAGAAAGAGACACACAGAGAGATACAGGGTCATTTGCCCAAATGGTAAATGCCAGATTTTATTCAGAATACGCCAGGTTAAATACTTTTCCCAGAGGAGAAAAGGACCCCCTCCCACCCAGGAGTGAGATCACAGTGTTTACTGCCTGGCACCGAGAAGAAGGAGCATCCAGGCAGGGGGTATCAAGCTGGGAACCCTGACAGACAGATTGGGAAGATTCAGGGCGCCTGTGAGAGCCCTCCTCAGCAGGTGAGATTACCATACAAAAGGCGGAAACAAGGTTCTGAACTAATCCCCTCCGGCTGGCAGAATCGAATAGAGGAGGCTAGGCTGGTAGCGTGAACAATTCTCGCATCCTGTGCTTGGCCTCGAGGAACAGGGAAGCCAGGGCATTACACTGCACATTAAATTTATGTATGGAAAAACAATGCCTGGCACAGGTTTGTGAGAAAGGGGAAATACAAATAGTGAAATTCACAACCAGCCTCCACACTGTGGTGAACTTCCTATCATGTAAGGGTTCCGGTGAGAGAACAGGACGATCAGAGCCCCAGTCCTGTGGAGCATGCCACCTACACCTGTCCCTCATTGATGAAAACTGACACATAACATTTTTTATGAGGTATATAGTCTTAAAAAATCTTAGCATAAATGTTTCAAGAGTCTAAATGGTTTCCACGTTTTACATTACAGTTCTATGGAACAGAAAGATCGGTGGTATTGTTTTCTTCAAAGGTATATTACTAACATTCATACTTTGTTCCTTAGTGGCGGGGATATGGTAGTTCCATTTTAAGTATATATGCCTGTCTGTCTGTCTCTCTATCTATCTATATGTATGTATGTATATACATATCTAAATAGATAAATATGTATGCATAGATACATTTATATATCTGACCTATATGTGTGTGCATATGTACAAAAATGCACATGTGCCTATCTATTTATGTATACTTATGTATGTATACCTATATAAAATGCATAGATTTATGGTATCTATACATTCAGTATATTTATATACTATATGCTATGTTTCTATGTTTGTGTATATGTCTCTATCTATCTATGTATCTATCTATGTATCTATATATCTTTACATTTTCTCTTTACTCTATATTTGTGGTAAACTGTATTCTCCAGTCTTACTTCAAATGGATAGATTAATCTATATATTTCTATATAAACATATACAGATAGAAGTTCTCCTGTTGATTTATACCCATGTATATTAATATATTTTTTCTTTGTTTCATAAAAGTAATTCTAGCCTGTAACATAAATCATATTTATCAATATAAATACATATTCCTACATATAGATATATTTATAAAATCTGATAGACTAACTTCAGATGTGCTGTTGATTAAATGGTCCCTGACTACTGCTTTAATTTCTCCTATTAATACACATAGTTTGTTTCACATTGAGGAATTTCTGGTTGCTACTCTTTTCACTTTCTCCTCTTTAGCCTATATATTACAGTACAGTATTACAGTAGCCTATATATACAGTATATATTACATATATATTATATTAGCCTATATATACAGTATATATTACTGTATTGTATTACTGTACTGTATTACAGTACAGTATTACAGCAGCCTATAATACAGTACTCTACAAACTTATTTTAAATTCCCCTCAAGACAGATTTCTTTACCATGAACACTCAATCCATCTGCTGCTTCCCACTGTGAAGTGAAGCAGGTTCCTGCCCTCATCTTGCAGACAAAATATTTTGAGGACTGGCTATGCTTCTAAAATCATAACTTATGGCAACAAGCTATTATCTAAGCATGTCTTTGTTTCTGAAATACTTTTGAATATTCCCTAATCTGTATGCATATTTCTGAACCCATATCTTTACATTAATGATATTGATAAAATAAGTTACTAGAAAATTCATTACTGTACTGTATGTTTTTATTGCATTTGAACAGATCCATTAATGAAGCCACAAAGGGCTACAGGAAGCATTTTAAACTCCCGATATTCACTGAGGACATCCCAAACTGTGCCAGTGTATGTGAATATAAAACAAAAAATGAAGCTGCAAGTTCATTACCAGAGAGTGACAGGCAGTTTGTAGAGCAATGGAAAAAGGGGACATAGGAAGAGAGTGGAGGGGAGAGAGAGTATGAGAATTTAGACAGCATTTTTGTAAGGGGTATATGTGTATGCCATGCCTATATGTTTTTCATATGTGATATGTAGAAAGCAGCATGAAGCAAGATTGATCCATATTAGCTATAGTTCCCCCAAAAGAATAATTTTTGCTTAAATGGCCATTATGGCTTGTAGATTATAAGTGATGGTTAGACAATAACAAAGAATAACATGTTTTCAAGTTATTTTATAGCATTTTCTCTGCATTTTATAGCCTTTATATATAACAACAACAGACTTGGCGACAGTGAATGATATCATCCAGAAGTTACTCCCTATGATAGGAATGCCTGTAAGTTACTGAAAGCTACTTTGACTTTTGTTTTCTAGATCCACATATGTGCGAATGTGCGTATAAATATTTACATAAAAATGTGATCAAGATGAATTTACAAGTCATATTTTAAAATAATATTTTGGAACTGGGGCCTCAAAGATACAGTCATAGATTTTAGAGGGTTATTTTTCTTGGATATTTTCATGGCCATTTAAGGTTCATGTGAAAATGAAACTCACAGCCCAGTGGTCTTGAGCTATCTGTGTAGTCTCATTATAGAATTAAAAAATTAAAAAAATAATGGACAAAATTTACTCATACACAAACACATACCAGATTCAAAGACTGCCAATCTTAGCGGCAATGAAGCTTTTCTTTTTTTTCCTTTCTAATTATTTTCCTTTACTAATTGTTATGTAATTCCTTCTCTCTCCCATTCCTTGCTTTTCATTTCTTTGTCTGTGTAGTTAGTGGTGAGTGTATGTGTTTGAGTATGTTCTTTTTTCTCTTTTTTGTAATCTTTATGCATATTGTCTGTTTCTGTCTCTGTTCTTCTTTTTCTCTGTATATGTATCTGTGTATATCTTTGTATTTTTGTGCTTAGACATACATGTGTATCTCTGTATTTACATATCTCTTTGTGCATATGTGTCTCTGCATGTGCATATGTCCCACTCTATCACCTTCTGTGAGTTTGTATTTTCCCTCTCTCTCTCTCTCTCTCTCTCTCTCTCTCTCTCTCTCTCTCTCTCTGTTTGTCCAGGTCCCTCTCTTTCACTTTGTGTGTGTATTGGATGTGGTAGTGCTGTATTTGTCTGCGTGAATGCGTATAACTGCCAGTTTTAATGATTAATGACCTCTGTAGGACAATGTCATTGTTTTTCATCAGGAATCAACAATAAAGTACAATTAGTGATAACTCCAGTTGAAGTATATTTTCACTTTACCCACTCCTCTAGGGTGCTAAATATTTCAAAGAATATTCTATTTAGATGGTTGATTTAAGGATCCATTGCCTTGTGTGCAGTAATTAGATTGTGGAACTTGTTTTCAGCAGCTGGCCTATTTTCTAGGTTAGACGTATGTCCTTCATCTCCATAGACTGAACATCTCTGAATGAGAGTCCAACTTGTTTTTCCTCAGAGGCATCCCTCAAACCTCCATGATTTTTTCTATTTTGCCCAATGTTGCTGAAGTTACCACATCTTTCAAGTGATACTTTGCTCACAAAATCATAGGCGCTGAGGGTGTATGGCTCTCTGGATACTAGGTTGTGTGAGCATTTAAAGTCAAACTTCAACATTCCATACTCAGTGTGGACAAACAGATATAACAGATCTAGGAATAGCATTTCTGTTGGCAAGTGTTGGTGGGCGAATGCAATTTCTTATCCCATGGTTATTCAGATCCTACTGTGGATCAGAAGATCCAGACTCCATCAGACAGGCTGTGCAAGTACCCAGGGTTGTCTGCTGATGTCAACACAGATGATTCAAACCTGTAGTCAGAGGACACATCATTAGTACAGCCCCTAATGGTTTTCCTGCTAGAGAGCTGGGAACACTGGGGAAAGATATTCTTCAGAGTCCACTTTGAATGGCTATGTGTGATGGTTGGATCTTTTTGCCTCCCAGAGGGCTCAAGATTACCAAATGTGGTTCTGTCGTGACTATGAGAAAACCCCAGGCCTACTCCAAGGTAAGGAATAGGGAAATCTAAAGAGGGACTAAGTTCAATGTTCTCACCCTGAACTCTTAACGTTTTCAGCATTCAGTCTTAAAGTTAAATGCACATTAAATAAATAACTTAAACATTATTTCATTCTTTAATTCATAATTACCAACTACTTAATATAACCATACACTGATACCATCTCTTTAGGCAATAGTTTATGAACTAGTGGGAAAAAAATCTGAATTTTTTTACACACTTCTGAGAAACAAAATTGTCATTAAAAAGACAAAGAAACCAAGACTTTGGGTATTTTGTTTCTAAAGAAAAATAATTAAAATTCTTCATTTGCTGAAGATTAAAGACAATCCTAGGGATTAGAGAGTTGTCTCAGTGATTGACAGCACTAGTTACCTTGTTGTTCTTTCAAAGGTGATTCAGTTCACAACACGCACAGGCATAACATGGTGCACAGATACACATGGGAGCAAACACAATTACATACATAAGGAAGTCTAAAATAAAATTTAAAATTTTATATAAAGAATATTTTGCTTGCTCCTAACTATATAGCTTCTGTTTAGGAAAGAATGTGAGAGATATAGCCATTTCTCCAAACCCGTGTAAATACAGGCAGCTCACATCTCTAGGACCTGTATTTCCCCCATTGAATGGGAGGTACGGTTCAGACTCTTGGAACCTACCTGACTGCATCACCTGCGATTCCTTACATTGCATTTTTCTGGAATTTTTCACATAGATCATAGTAATAGAAGATTTATCAGAAGCATTAGGATAAGAATTAAAATTAAGTCTGCTCACGAGCTGACTTTTCAATAGCTACTGAACAGGTGATGTTCTAATGTTCTAAATCACAATGTGATCATCAGACAATTAACTGTGAGGATGTCTGTTGGAGATGGGAGAACACTGCCTTGTTCAAACCCTTCTCATGTATCATGAGAATAATCTGTGTGCATATTCTTGATTATTCCAAGTAAACTGAAATTGCACTACTATTTTATTTATAATATTTACTTTCAGGATTATAGTACATTGGGTAGCATCAGGGGTATAATTCAAGTCCACACTGGATAGTTTGTTTCTTTATAGCACAGGTTATTGATATTAAGCCAGGTAAGGGATTCCTGGTCCACAATGTCACAATCAAATAAATGCTGGGAATACAGGCATGTGTCAAAAATGTCTGGTCCTCCTGCTTTTTATTTTTATCTATCTATCTATCTATCTATCTATCTATCTATCTATCTATCTATCTATATTTTGTTTGATTTATGATTCTAGCCAAAGCATTTAAAATTTTTTTTTTAAAAAAAAAAATCTTTTCTCAGGCTGGGGAAATGGCTCAGTGGTTAAGCACACTGACTGCTTTTCCAAAGGTCCTGAGTTCAATTCCCAGAACCCATATGGTGGCTCACAACCATCTGTAATGAGATTTGGTGCCCTCTTCTGGCCTGCAGGCAAAACCCTGTATACATAATAAATAAATAAATCTTTTTTAAAAAAGAAAAGTCTTTTCTCATTTTACATTCCTCTTTCAGTTCCCACTCCCTCCCCTCCTTCCACTAACCTTAACTTCTCCCCTCCCCCCATGTACTCCTCAGAGAGGGTAACTTTTTCCATTTGAAATCAACAAAGTTTGAAACATCACTTTGAGGCAGGACCAAGGCCCTGCCCCCTCTCTCTAGGCTGAGCAAGGTATCCCCCCAAAAGAGAAGAAAAATGTAAATCCTGGGAGTACAAATAGCAAAAGTCACCCACTCCACTGCTTCTGAGAACCATGTCGTCATACCGTGACTGGAAATGGATTCTTTATATATGTGACAGATAACACAACAGAGAAAAATATTGATCAGAGCAGTGCTTGACACGAATAAGAAAATTACTTAAAGATTGCCTGTCCCCAAATCATAGAAACGTCTTTCCTTTCCATGCTAGACAACTGAGGTAAGAGTCCAATCATGCAAAAGTCTTGATAGCAAGGCAGAAACCGGCAGTGCTTAAACCTGTCACGGGGGAGCACAGCGAAAGTCACCCCAATACGGTGTACTGATGGGCCTATGTTCTTCCAACAATGCGACAAGTTCAAAGTTTTCTTCTCTGTTTTTAGAGACATCAGCTTCCACATCCTTCCCTGATCAGCATGTCCCAGGAAGGCCACTGACGCCCAGTCTACTTTGACCAGAGCACAGTATAACAGTGTGTGGTAAAGCACATTGGCAGGTTTTGTCTCATTCATTACTATTAGTTACAGCCTATTCTTATTTTCTTCTCACAGAGCGTGAGCATCCCTATGACATTATAATGAGGAACAGCCTAAATACCTTCAGTCGAAGGGAATCAGGAAATGTCACAGCTTTTCCTGCCCTGCCTGGGCTGTATGTGGAACAACCAGATATCCAGGGACGATTCATCCTAAAGCCCAGAGAAGCAGCAAGAAGTCAGAAGCAGAGCGGTGAGTCCATTACCTTCCTTCAGGTGTCCTTTCCCAGTTCCAATTTCTATCCTGTGAAAAGCATCAATGCATTGTGTCTTTTCTTGGTTCGAAAGGGGGCATAGTTGAGAACAAAGACAAAAAGAAAACAATATGCCCCCAGTCATGTTTAAGAGAATTTGAACTGCTGCAAGATTTAGCTTGTCTATGGGGAGAATATTTAATTATTCCAGGAAAATAGTCACCGTGAGCTGGTATGCCAAGGCACTACATACATATAATCATGTGTGCAGACATCTTTGATCCCGTTGGAGTATGACTTCCAAGACCTGGGCGCTCATATGTTCCCCACCATGTAGTTTCATGATCAGAGGAGAAAATATCCTATAACTGCATATTGAGAAACCTGCCATGAAAGCTATACAGAAACGCTGTGTGTATTGATTTGAAGATACTCTGTTCTAGGCTTGAGTAGAAATGGACTCAGACTTCTTGCCCAGTCTCTAATTTTTTTTTGTTCACTGGACAACTGGGTTTTATGTGTGTCTTTAGACCTGAGTCTGGACTAGAAATGGACCTGATATTTATGTACTGGGGTCTTGAACTTTATTTAAATATTTTTAAAGTATACTATACTTTCATTATTTTCCTATACTTTCTCAAAAACATCCCAATGAACCCCTCTGATTCTTTTCAAATTCTTCCCTTTAAAAAGTTACTATATAATATATATTATACATATATATTATTATACATAAACACACATGCACATGAACACACACTCACTCATACATCCTACTAAGTCTGTATAAATTTACTTGCAATTTTGGTCTGAGTATTTGGTATTGGACAGCCAACCTATATGGTATGCTGAGGAAGACTGCTAATTTTGTATTTTCTTATGTGAGCCCGTTGTTTACATTGAATGCATTTGTTGTAACTAATTTATTTAAGATTTCATTGTGATCCAATATTATAAAAGCAACCTTGGAAGAGAAAAAGAAAGTTTGATTTCAGCTTTGAATTAACACTATAGGGGCAAGGACCCAGAGTCTGGCTGGCAAATGTAGTCATGCACACTTTCCTATGAGGCAAATGCTAATGACAAAAGAAATTTGACAGTGGGTCTTCCAAAAGTTCAACAAGAAAGCTAAGAATGGGAGAGACACACTATGTATGACATTTGAGAATAATGGAACACTTCTTTATCTGAACACCAGGAGTGTGACTATGAATAAGGATGTGACCACTGAAGCATCTGACAGTAACATAACAGAGGTGCTTGTTCAACTAGGCATCAAGAATCTCATGATGTAATGTGGGGTCAGACAGCATTGAGTTGTGAGATTCCCACTAGAGGACACCCAGTTCAAGTCTCTAAGATTAACTACAGCGTAGAATATAGGGAAGAAGAACATACACAATGACAGAATGGGTAACCAATTTTAGAATGTAGGGCATTCTATATTACAATTGATTACTACTTTGATTGTATGCATTACACAGGAACATTATGCATTTGGAAATCAGTAACAAAGGCTGCATAAATTAAAGTACCCCATATAATGACATCTGCATTCTCTTTAGACACAGAGGAGCCAAGAGCTAAGAAAAGACGGCCTTTCAAATCTCGGTTGTTCCACAGGGGCTCTGTGCTTCACCAGGACCAATTGTGCACAGCCCTGCCAGTTGCTAAGCCAGGAAAACTCTTTGGAAATGATCTGACTGCCATTTGTGAGGATGGCAATCTGCCCACAGCAATTCTGGTAGGTCTCACATGGTCCTTCTCTGGCTGTTTTAAGGACAAAATCCTGCTTCTCCTAAATACCCACCCCTTCGAGTCTATCCTCAAGTGGAGAAACAAGTGTGCATCAAATCATTGGCTTAAGATTAGGAAGGTAAGAGGATGCTAATCACCAGAAACTGTGTATTGGAGAAATTGCAGAAATCACTTATCCGTTGTGGGAAATCTGATGTAAGTAAATAAGTAATGCCTTAACATTAAGGTGGGTTGGGCA